GGTCCTTTACGTCCGAGAAGGTTTTGCAATCGAAATTCATGTTCCCCCCCTCAGGTGACGCTTCGTACAGGATGGAGAGAGCTTAGGAATTTGTCAATTTTCGCCTTCTCGAAGCACTATAGGTCATCAAATCAGATGGAGATTCTATGCTAAGCAAAATAAATTTTAATGCTTCGTAATTCCAGTTGGAATGGGAGAACACCGCGTTGTCAAGATGCTCCTCCCTGCGACTCGTATATTCTGGGACGTAGAAGTACCCAGCATAATGTCTATCAACACTTTCTCCTTTGAAGCGAACAACCTACCAGTTGCATACGCTTCCTGTAATGACAGAGGAAAGAACGTGAGTGTGTAGAATGGCATCGGCCTAAACCTCCTCTGGGGGGTTGGGCCTAGGTCAACAAAATCAGTCCCCCAAGAACGTCCCCCCAGGGCATGTACCTCCAAAGGCGGATGTTTCCTGAACTCCACATTCCAATACCTACTTGTGTACCAAGTTTCAGATTAATAACTTCTCTAGAACATGGTTAGGATTAGCGTCAGTCAGTCACGATCGTCTGTATATATTAGATAACTTAATCTAGATAACTTAATAACATTTGATCTCTGAACTTTAAGTAAATGGTTTAAATAAAATTAGTGTCAAACGCATCATTGTGGCGAAAACAATTTCCTGATGATTCCGCATTGGCAATCCAAAAAAGTTCAAACAACCTATCTTAGTAGCCCATAATATTGAATCAGCATTGATTCAACGTTGGTTCGGTGTCCGGGTATTGAATTGACGTTTAATCAATGTTGAATCAATGTTGTTTCAAGAGCATGTGCTACTAGGGTACAGAGATACAGAATAAGGAAAATAATACAAGGGAATATTTAGTCAATTTTGCGCATTTCCTTCGTAGGGTGACTTCTACAAAGTACGTTACCTTACTTCATCATGTGGTGTTATACCGAAAGCCACTTTGTCTGATTTTCGGTGAGAATAGAGTATTACCCATTTACCTCATTACTTTTTTACGACTTATTTAGCAATATTGAATTCGAAACTTGCAAAGTAATGCAAACTCTTACCTTCACAATGGTTAGTTGACATTTTTTAGTTTCCTCGCAAACTCTATCATTGGGGATGGAAATATCCAGTAGTGAATCATTTCATAAAGGGAAGTTCCACACTTTGTTGCAAAGCCAAATTCACTTTCACGGTGGTCCATAGACATCAATCATATAGTATGCACGGACAGTGCAGGTGTCATGGAAACTCCGCTTTTGTGACCACCTCTCCCGGAAGAAACTAGAAACAAGTTCATATTATGTTTTTAATATGAGATTATCACAAAAAGATTATGGAATAATATATGCTGGTAATATTTCCACTTCTGTTTATGCTCCTTGTGGCTCATCGTCCGGTATGTCATACTGAGGAGATGGGGCTCGTAGGGGCAATTCACATAATCCAATTTAAGAGAGTACAGGTTGACTTCGAAGGCTAAAGTGTCTGAACTTGATCCAAACGACGTGAGCTTTCAAGCACTCATAAAGACTATGAATAGAGAAACCCTGATAGAGCTCGATCATCCCTCCGAGGTCAGAGAGGAACTGAGGCTCCTGCTTTTCCACTGTTTCCATCTGAAGTGCATTAGAAAACGTGTTTTTTCATTCGAACAGTGGATCTCTGGATGCGGGTAGGCCATTCGAGCGTGCTTAAGGGCGATTCCAGGTTACTGCCCATAGCTTCGCATAAAAGGGAATGTATATTTTATCAATTGGAAACTTGAGCAACTCAATTCGGTGGTTGGTATGTTCAACTGCATCCCGACTACTTGCGATTAACGATCTGTTAGTTCGGTTGAGATCTAGCTATGTGCCATCAACTGCAGTGGAGTCACACTATACGTCGCCCTCTTGCATATCCTCGGAAATCCAGGATTGAAATAGTACTGCGTTTCGCTATAGTGGTCAAAGGCACGCACTTCTTTCTCAGAGGTGTTGCACTGGCGCTTCACGTCAGATGTGCTTGGTAGCACTGAAGGCAGGACACATGGGGCTTCCTTCCAAAAATCCTCCATGAGAGTCGTTTCCAAGCACTGTGGCTTAAAAACCGATAATTTATAAAAATGTATATTGATAGGAACGGGAGGGAACTGTGAATCTGATAGGGAGCATCTCTCTTCACCTTCTGGTAATCGTAGTTCTCATCTTGATTGCACTTCCCACGTGAAGGCAAGGTGCTATAGTACTTTACTATAGTATCATACTATAGTACTTTTTAAAAGTGTATTCTATAGCTTTGAAATGCCTTACGTGAAGTTTCCAACTTTTCCCCAGTGCATTCTTTCCAACAGTATTTCCACTCGGATGTTTGTCACTATTGTAATTGTCAGTTGAACGCATTTTTTTCATTAATGGGCGCCAAAGTAATTCCGGGAAAGCATCCCGATATTTAAGCATCGATTATATGGTGTGGCCTTTGTATCGAGTAAAACGATGCCGTATTTTCTGCCTGGAAAAAAAAGACACGAGCGCAACTGAAACGAACCTTGACCAGAAGCCGCGTGGGACTACGCGCATTTTTTTTTCAAAAAAAGCGTGCTGCCATCAGGACGCATGGTCCCAGAAAACAGTTTTTTTTGCCGACTTTTTTTTAAGTTGAATTTTTTGGAATTTCTATCAGTAATTATGAAATCATAATCTTCTGGAACGCTAGATACTCGATATCTGCGCACAATACGTTTTTTGGAACCTGCATCCTGCCATCAGGACGCATTGTCGCCAACGTGTTAAAATAAACGGATTCCAGTTCCCACTCGCTCCCTCCAGGTGTTATCGACGGAGAGGTGTGTCTACATTGGAGGATGAAACATGGACGGAAGGGGACTGTAGTGGGCACGGGGATGGTCCATAGTATTAGACGTAGCCCGAAGGAGGGATGGCGAATTCTGCTACACTGAGAGAGCCAAGCGTAGCTGCATGACCCTACTGGCACGTTTTGACAGATCTGCAGCCTATAGTGAGAAATTCAATATCGGAGAATCAATTAGAGGATGGAGTAAAGCTTGGCCTTGAACTCGCTAAAGTTAGGCCGACTAAAATACGTTTCGGTAGGCCTAAGCAGTGTTGCCACTGACAGAACCCGGTTATAGTAGAATCGTGAGTTAATGTTCGACCTCGATTCGGGATATCAGCATGGACAGAAATACCTCAGTACACAAACCGTAAACTTAAAACTTTTTTGACAGGAAACCGATGCAACCCTGATGCCCATCGCCAGTGCAAAATGTTCTATGCCATGACGGCTACTGGCAGCGACCATATACGACTGACATTGGTTGTATTTATTTCCTAGAAGGGGAGATTGAGGAAAAATACAAAGAAAATTCGATCGATGAAGAAGCATTTGCTGAGGGATCACAAAGTGCATTTGACATAGCTCATATAATGCTGACATTTTACTCGCTGAAACGCTTTACATTTCCTAAGAGTTTCCTGGCTATGGTCTGGACGATTTTAGCTTGTTCAGCAACTACATTGAGACGAAACATGGCTTGGCACTAGATGGCACTGAGAGCACTTGGCATTTCTCACATAAAACTTGAAGAAAAACGAAACGTATTCCATCTGCATTTCGAAGGGAAGGCTTTTCTCCTCGTATGAGAACATTTCTGGATGGAAGGAAATTGCTTGCAGTTTTGAACCTCTATAATTTCAGATGATCATGATGTGAACTCACCCTGCCACATATTTGCTTCCCCTCGTGCGTCGTACTTACGTGTGGGAGTAATCGTGTCCTCTCCCCTCGTGCTTACCTTACCTCAAGGTATTCCTCATCGCAGTGGAATCATTGTTTTGAATATTTTTGCATAGTTATGAAAGTGAAGAACAATCGGGAACTTTTGTCGAATTAAAATACATTTCAACGAGATTCATTGCGCAGCCTCGGGACACACTTCATCCTGAAGGACCACCCTTCCTCGATCCCAAACGTCTCTGAAATTCTCGTACGCATAATACATTGCCGCGTATGTTACGCCATTTAAAGAGTGGGTTGATCATTCGCAATGAACACGTTACCAATAGAATTAGCTGGCCGCTCTTTTTTTCACACACGTGAAGTTTTAAGATTTCAATGTCGACGTTTTGGATTTTTTTATTTCCTTAAATGAAAGCAAGCAATATTTTACATGCGCTTGAAGTTTATTGGTGCACGAATATATTTTTGATAGCTGGGGTAACATGGCTTGAGTAATGGTGAAGTGATTAGGGCAGCATATTTCGTATTACATTTTTCTAAGCTGAAGTACAATCGTCCTGTTCATCACACAACACCATGAGGGGAAAAAAGCAAATTAAGGAGCATTCCACGCGTCTACATCATCAAATTGGAATGCAAAAGCCGAACACGTGCAAAAGAAAGTACAAGAGCACGGCCGACAACTTTTCTTTTAGTTGCAATTCGTGCTTATTTCCAAAACAATCTCGAGTATACGAAGGGCTTTTCAGGAATGCAGTAATTAATGCAGCTGCTTTAGACTGAGAAAGCAATTCCTAAAACCGAAACACCCAAAACACGTCATAGGAAAAATCCATCAGAATGATGAGATTAGAGTAAACCAGAGTTCACATTCTGTTACGGAAGCAGAACAGACTGGTATTTCCTTACCTGGATTTTTTAACTTAAAACCATCTGGAACACTTTTTTCTATTCATTTGTTGCTAAACGCTGTGCAGTTGGTCGAATGGAACATTCAGAAATTATCCATATATATCAGTTTTAACAAATACGGACATATCCGATAAGCAACTGCTTCTGTTTTTGTCGTCTATGATGCCAAAATTTCGCATCCGAAACTAGGCGATAATAATCTCCCGTGAACTCTCCGAAAGATGCCACGCCTGCAAGGAAAGAAAAACGGTGAAAAAAGACAGTGCCACATTTTCGCTAATTCCTTCTCGGACCTCATCGAATCTGGAACGCGCCACGACCGAGCCACGCCACAAAGTCAATTCGGGATCTTGATCTCGCAGAAGTACCCATCCGACACACAGCCAAACTGCACGACGCCTGACGTGCACGAGGAGTCGACCCAGAAGCCGCTGTAGAACGGAGCCACCGCGTACTGCCGGGTCATCATGAGGCATTGACCACCGGAACCGGAATCGGGTTCATTTGGGTGGAAGTTTCCATCACCTTTCGCCGTGATGTTGAGGCTTGTGCCTGGACGTGAGGAAAGGTATTAGGGAAGGAGATAAATTGTTCCCAATGTTTTGGAACTTATTTCAGTATTAAAAAAAATTCGAATTTTATTATCACTGACCTTGCCATAACTATATGCCGATAGTCATCACTCTCGAGTAGGCTAACAACTTTTCCAAATATAATATTTCATGACAGTCTTCGTTTTCGCACCTTATATTGAATCTCATCCGGTCGCATTGAATATGTATCATCATAAAATAGAAAGTTCCTTCATCCATGGAAAAAAGGGACGAAGGTAATTCGAAAGACTGCATTTAATAATCTTGGAGAGTTTGTGCAATGTGCATCGAGTCTTTACTGAATTAATTCATTGTAACGAATTTTACGATTTCACGATGAAATCGAATAACTGAGGCACGTGTTAAAATTTCCATAAATTTTCGAAGCAAGTAAATGATTTTCAATGAATATGCTGTATGTATGAACGTGCATGTACGATCTCGAAATTGAAGGAATCTGAATGCAATCTAGAGAGACCATTTATGTCTCTGTATCAAGACCGGTTTTTTAAATGGCACAGCTAACCTCTCCCATGATTTCACGAGATGATCCCGAGATCATCATTGTTCGCTTTTGGAAGGGCGAAGAACACCCTCATGATGCAGTCTGCCCATAATGAGGAAGGAAAACGCGGAAGCCTGAGGTACACACGACAAACGAGGAAGTCCTTGGACGCCATTAGTTAATTATGTGGGATGATCTTACATATCGACTTGCTCCTGGCCTACCAATGCCAGGAACGAGATGCTACAGTGCATTGGTGAGTAGTCTTTCCGAAAGGCGATGACAATGAATTTTAGCGCCTGAGCGTAGTGAATATATACCATCTTCATAAAATCACATAAAAAGCTTACAAAGCTCTCAACGACTGTCACGTGGATACAGACTGCAATGTGATCATTGTTTTGAGGATGGTTTTACTGTCAAGTAATACATCGAAGCGCTTGCAGGATGTTCTCGGCCATAAGAAGAAAAAGATTGTCATTAAATCCAAATGCGTTCATGTTGCTTCATCCTCAACTTCACCTTTCCTGGGAAAATTCCTCCACTAAGCCGAAACTTGTAATATATTTCAGAAAATAAAATACGTTGGTTATGTAAAATCTCTGGTCAAATCAAATAACCGCTTATCAGTTACGACCATAGTCTACGGAAAAAGTCGTCAATACTTTACGAACGAAGACTCACCATCCAAGAAGCTCCAAGTGTACTGATTCGTCTTGCTCTGGCCATCCATGAAGAAATACTTGCACACTATGTCCACCCCTAAGTTGGCAATCATGGTCTGGTTCATGGAATTCAGCATCTCTGTGGTCGCGGGAATGGCAAGTCGACCCCCGACGTCCAGTCTACACTTCGCATCCGCCTCGATCCAGGTGAGTCCATCAATTCGGACCAGCTTCAAGAAGCTGCTTGTCCCGGGGACCGGCGTGTAGCCTTCCCAGAGAGAGACAATGGGAATCGATTTTAGGGCAATCGCCGGATGAACGGACACGATCGCGATTGTTTCGGCGAAATGTTGATTTTTTGTACGTGGTCAGATCAATGCGTTCTACATTGATCTGACCACGTTTCTCAAAGATTCAAGAGTCATCGCAGCGTCATTCTTCATGACGCTGCGATGACTCTTTCTGGCTTTTGATAGGCATCACCTTTGAAGTTACTCATCTTCGGCATCGATGCAATTTCTTCAATTTCTTTCAGCCGCTGGAAGCGTGGCTGATGCTAGATTTTTAAAATAGGCAACAACTCTCCCGTCGTGTTTGAAATTTTGCATTGAAAGTCCTGAAGCCGTATTGATGTTTCTGAGACTGGGCCTCGCCCCCATATATTCGGGTGCTTCATTTCCGTGTTTTCAGTCTCGTGCCTGTGCGCCGACCCTAAGAATGTGTCTCGTCGATCGCAGTAGGAAACACTCCCGAAACTGCAGACTTAAAGGATGTTTCTGTAGCGTGAATACAACCCAACGCTTCTCACCCAGAGGATCGCATGGAATTTAAAGATCCGACCAGAGTGCATAACCTTCTTTGACCGCTGTCACGAGAGTAGGCCTTTACATAAACTAATGAAATTCAAGTATCCAATTGTATGCAACTCACGTCATTAACCCATAGTGGGCCACTAAAGCACATCTACATTTCACAAGGAATAAACCATTTGGGGAAAAAAAAGCCTGGACTGTGAGGCGATGCCCTTTCCGCTCAAGGTCCTTCAAGTCTTAAGGAGTTCACATCGTTCATGGAATGCATGGTAGAATTGCTTCTGATATTTCTAGATTTTGGCATTTAAGTCGTTTATTGGACGTTCCCGTGGATGTTCCTGGAACGTTGGCAATACATTGCATGAAAAGTTCATTAAACGTGTTCGATCCTACTTGATCGGTAGTCTTTGAATATCATTTAGTCTTTTTCCTTTGACACCTTGCAGCTGGTTTACCCATCACAATGTCGCACAACCGACGACTTGTTGGACGGAACTAATTCATTCCTATGCAAGACCCCATTCACAAGGTTCCTCGGCGCCCAAGCATACGAGAATCACCTGTTGTCACCGGCTCCTTGTAGAAGAATTTGCTGCCCGGATCCGCCGTCCTCCTTGCGTCGTATGCGTCCCCAAAGCGGCAGGTGACGGCGCCTGCCGACTTGGTCGTGGAGAAGCTCAAGCACGTCGTCTCCCTGTCCAAGAGATTCAATGTCAATCATTCATACTCATGTTTTTCTGTCTGGACTCGACCCTTGCATCTTTTTCTCTCATGCCTGCAATACGTACTCCTTGAGGAACATTGAGCGAATTCTTCTTTGCGGTATCGAGTTCCTATCCGAAGGAAGTCATTATAGCGAGAAACTTCATAACATTGGTGAGATAAGATTAGTGAGACATACGATTGGTGAGAGAGTGAAATTGAATCGAGGAGGCAATAACTGACTCGGGAATACGGTTAACATGGGCAGGAAAACGCGCTGGAATGAGCGTACGCATGCGACTAACCCCAAGGAGCTGAAGCAAACGACCGTGCCACCTGCACGAATATGTGAACCTCTAATCATGCGTTACGCGCATTTCCTCGCTGTAATTTGACTTATCCTCATTTGCACGCACATCGTTCAGAACACGCCCTCGGCATGGTGTCTAGCCTTCATCCTCGGACTGCTATGAAAGAAGTACAAGATCAAAATACAGAAGAGGGAGAAATCATTTTAATTATCATTAAGTAAAGAGATACTGAAGTTGATGCTTGCTCAATAGAAATACTGCACTCAAAATCTTGACGAAGCTGTAATATTCTCAGAATACTGCAGATAGAGTGAGAACAGCCTCTGAGAACAGTCATTGTAGACTCTCTGACAGAAATGCTTCCATGACTCGAAGTAATCCCGCTTGGAGATTTAGGCCCGTATTCACGTCGTTCCCCTTACTGTTAAAGGACCCCTAACTCAAGAAAGTTCGGGATTCCCTAGATGTTTCGTATTCACGTTCGTCCCCTGGCTAAGGGATCCTTAAACCCAACCCTAATGGAAGAAGGTAGGTGAGCTTCCATTTTCACTTTTAGATTCCTACGAGTTCAATTTTGTAGCGCCTGCAGCACCTCATCAAGAGGTACTGGTATTTCGTTACTGATGACAGTGTCTATGGGTGTAAATTCACCCCAATAATCCGTTTTATCTTCCTTTAAGGTGATCCAATTGAAGGATGAGGTCAAATGATATCTGCTGCTGCTATGCAAAAGCCACCCCAAAAAAGGATATCCCCTACTATACATTTACTAAATCTCTGTTCTGACTCTATCTATTACCACGAAGTTTGCACTAAGCATAAGCGAGTATGTTTTCAAGAGATTTGTGGAAATTCATTAAAATTTATTGCAGCGAGGCAAAGCTACTAGCCATATTTAAAATAAGTTGAAAACAATTGCAGTCGACTGTAGAGCGTGCTAGTAGTTTAGCAGAGGAGATGTCTTCGTTCTGCTGTGTCCATGCCATCCAGGTCGGGTCAAAAATGTAATGCTTGAGCTTTGTATAGTTTTGATAATATTATTCTGAAATAACAAATCAATGGCTAGTAAAACAGAGCTTGTAATAAGGCCCATACTTGTCATTCTCCCAGCAACAGTAGAACGGAACAGTTAGGGGACCCCTAGGTAAGGGTTCCCCTAAAAATGGTATTCACGTTGGTCTTATAGGGGGCCGTTAGCTAAGGAATCCTTTAGGGGTGATGAAGAAAGCGCATGCGCTGAAATTCTTTATCTTTACTGCCTCCTAGCCACATACACAGAAGTCAGAGGTCCTCTGCGTACGGCAATTGTTTCATTTTGAGTCCGACACATTTTCAGATTACTTTGATACCTTGCTATAGTACTTCCTATGTATGAGTGCCAAGGTCAAGCGAAAAAAGTGCCCTATTCAACTGCATTTTCTGAAGTTCGTATGCTCATACTTCGTACATTCTCAGGCGTAGACTTATAGATTCCATTGGTATAATTATCTTCGCATTAGCGTTGAGTACCAACTTCTCCTAGGTGGGTGCCTAGTTATCTCCAGTTATCTCCGAGTCACGTCAGGGCTGACTGGCTTGATTGCTTATCGGTTAGTTGTCATGTTCTCACGATTAGGTGCAAACATGAGTAGAAGGTCAAGAAGAGAAAACCTTACTACGGAGGAGAAGGAAGCATTCAAAGCTCTCCTTCGGAAACACTCTCCAGTTCTTGAAATCAAGAAATCAGATTCAGTCACGAACAAAGCTAAATCAGATTGCTAGCAAAAAAATCCATGTTTCCATGAAAGTCCTGTTTCCCGCTAACGAACCTATTAAGGTCCCTAAGCTCAAAGAACTCTGAGAGAGAATGAAAATGCATGTCATGCAGGATTTGGACGCTTATTCATTGAAGGTGAGTCTATGGTGAGAGGATGCTGATGCTGATGATTTAAAGCATGTTCAACATTGCATCAACATATGTTGGGCAAGACATTTAGCGAGACATTCAGACAAATACGGTTTCCAGATCCTGATTTAAGATGGCGCTAGCACGGGGAATTAGCTCATATATGGAACTGGCCCGCTTCCCCCGTATTTTTCTAAAGGTATTGGATATTTTCTTCAAAAATTGGACTGAAGAAACTAATTGAATTCCTGTATACATTCGAGAAAAGAGGCAGCAAGACCCAAGAAGATTCTCGGTACTTCTGGCCAGGGGAACGGAGAGAACAAAATTCATATGCTGATGTGACTCCATGAGACTCCTTCGAGTAGGTAAGAGAAATAACTCTGAACTGGGCAGTTGAGGTCTTTAGGATTTATAGTGTGAGCGCAAAGGCGTTAGATAATCGGCGGGAAAAGTTTCGCATTAATATCCTCCTCCAAGATCGGTACGTCTTCATCTGATCGCGGAATGTCCAGTTCGGAAACGGGATCGGGATAACGTTGCTGGTTCGATGATCATTCAGTGTCTCCATCAATGCATCGCTGTATCGACGTTATGAGCAGTCTGGGGTTGTTATCGGAGGGCTCTTAATTCTCGTTGGCTACTCCCAATGTCCGATCTCCAAACTCAAAACATCATCGTAAAATCGCTGAGTCATTGATATCTACAATACCTAGCCCATTCCATGAAAAATTATCAGCATTGTTTTTTGCTTGAGTAGATGTGTCTCTATAAATAATATTTTTTAAATGCAGTTTCGAGAAACTTTGAAGGCAAGGACCTTTACGGAAAAATCCATTATGAATTTGGGAATTTTGAAAACATCAGGTGTTTTTAAAAAAATCCGTTTTCTATGTGAGAAATTTAGTTTCATAAAGGTGGCCAAAAATACATTGGATACACAATCGATATTTGACAATTACAAGGTGTAGAATCGTTTCCTAACTTTTTTTCAGCACCCCTGCCTACGTCGTGCAATGCTCAATTAGAGGTGAATTTAAGGTGCTTCGAGGTTGATCATTCCACCGGAAGTGAGTTGATTACATATACTCGAGAGTCTCAGAATTCCATGAATTTTTCATCTTGAACTTTTCAAGGGGCAGTTGGATCTAGCTGATACTTGACAGAGAGATTCACGAGTCAAAGGTTTTTTTCCCACTCCCTCGAGATGACGCTGTATCATTGTAGAGAGCGCTGTTGTCGACCGGGTGACAGAGGGTGATTGAAAAATCACCCTCTCTCAACCTGTTAATCATCAGCTAGATCCAACTATCCCTGGAGAAGTTGATTTTAAAACATTTATTGAATTCTGAGACGGGCGAGCACAGGTAATCACCTCACTTGAGGTGGAATGATCCATCTCAAATTTCCTTTAATTCGCCAATTAATGGGCGCTGCACGACTTAGGCAGGGGGTGCAGAAAGAAAAGCTGGCAAGCATTTCAACACATTGTAACTGTCAAATATCGATCGTATATCGAAGGTAATTTTTGTTCATTCATGTTTGAAACTGTGTATATCCCATAGAATACGGTAGAGCCATTATTTTTTTAATCCACCTAATATATATATTATAGGGAATTCCTACAGGATCCTATAGAAATCATATGGGACTCTGTGAGTACCAAATAGGAGTCTTATCAGAATCCTGTAATTTGATGCTGTTTCAAAAAACTAGTAGCATCCTATAGGATTTTTTCCTAAAGGGTGACGCACTCCAGAACCAGTACTACATGACTCACCTCGAGCAAGAAAATGCGCACTCCATTTCCTCCACAATGACGAACTCTTTAGTCGGCGACGTGATCTTCATGTTGTTGTTTTTCGTCGGGTAGAAACGCGCGGTGGGCAAAGCCTCATTCTCCCCAAAAAGAAGCAAGAAGATGAGCCAACGCAGACGCTCCATTTTCCTCCGCTTCCTCTCGACGCAATAGTGGACAATAAAGGAACACGACCTGTGCTATTGCAGTCAGGAATAATTGGGGAACACTCTTTGCATGTCGTTATCGCGAAATCTTGTATGCACGAAGAGGGATGGGTAGGAGGGGGAGAAGAGGATGGAATGGAGAAGAGGTATGGAATGGAGAAGAGAATGGGCAGATAGTTGGTTTAAGGGTATGCCTTCGGGAGTTAGGAGTTCACTCTTTGATGAAGGCGAGTGTTAATGTAAAATTGTCCTTTTCATTTGCATTTTACTGAATCTTTGTTTGTGTGGAACGGCGAAAGTTACACAAAATTAGAGTTTTTCCCGCTCTTTTTTATCTTGTCAGAGAGTAACTAGATTTGGCGCCTAATTGTTTTGTTTGGTATCGGATTGCTAGAAAGGGGTAGGGGGAATGGGGTGGAATATCAAATGAATCCCAGCAGTTCACTCGAGTAGACTGCATCATGTGTCTCTCAAGCCACTAAAATCATGACACCCTGCAGATCTTTGATATTTTAAAATTCTTCATTTAAGGAAGAAAGCCGGTGTCACTAAAAAACTCAGAAAATCTAAATAGGGCTAGAGTAGTTTGGGGACATACAGTCCCCATCTTATTCCTGCATGTAGAAGTTATCTCATGGCGGTCGGAATTTTTCAATGTGCACCCTAATGAGAAGAAAAAAATCAGATGCACGAAAAAATCCACGAAACTTGCATTAGACTTCGCGAAGGGTCCAACCTGCCCCTTCTCCCTTAAGAACGCACATGGTTACGTAAAATCCACTCATTGCAATTCTTGGAATAAGCTTCGCTTGTTGCTACGACGCAAAACTACAACTGTTCCTAAGACGTTTTATTGTAACTGATAAAGGCTTTCCGTGATTGAGCTAATGAATATCTCCACCTTTATAGAGGCTCTTGCCAGCGATTAGATCTCGCAGAAGCTTGCATACGCCAAGGATCCAGTGAATAATGAATGGGACTTGAGATTGACTTTCTTCGGCGCGAAGGACAGCGAGGTCGTTAGCCGCACGCGATTCTTAGCCGATGAATATTTCTTCCAAGTGTTCGGAGCGGGGAGAGAGAACTAAGCGAAAATAAGCTCCATTTGGCCATCATTTTTCTCACGATTCGATATTACCTTTTATCTTAAGTCATGTTTTTTTTAACGAAACGTTTGCAAGTTCCTTCCCCGGCTCTGAAAATGTCGCTGCAGCAATTTGAAGTTGCATTTCTGAGCGTTTGTTGAGAGCACTAATCGTCCCTTTTCACTTCGTGAATTTCATTTTGGAATTTTTTTACCTCTTTGTTAACCCGTAATGATGGATTCTCGTATACATTACTACAGGCAATATCAAAATATCGACCATTAGAATATGAAGAGTGCCGTTATTGTTTCTTCCGACGCTCACTTTGCCATTAAACATGGAATTATCTAAAGGTGAACCCATGTGATCTTGGTTGTCCCCATACAATGAGGTTTGAGATTCCTCTGAAAGGGAACTCCTGTACTGACCTGAAGACAATCCGTTCTTTAGGTTTCATTCTAGCGTTAGAAAGTCTCGAAAAAAATGGAATGCACTGATAGCATTTCACATTGTCTCACCTCTTTTGTGGGGCGGGTGAACCCGTTGTTTTTAACTTTTTGTGGTTCTGAGTTTTACATAGCAACTATAATTTCAATTTGAAAAGTGAAGACACACTATTGAGTTCACTTTCCAATTTTAAAATGTGGAAACCTTCAGGTTCCAAAAGGCGAGGAAATGAAAAGTATATACATGTACTGTATATGACGTTCAATGCGGACATGTGTACTTCCCCCTGGAGTAGTGTAAATGGGAAACAGTGGTGCCAGCTTCTTTTATCCACCGTCATCATATGGGAAGTGGAAAAGTAAGGCTAGCATCTCAGAAAGCTGAAGTATCTCGGGGAAAGAAAACTTGGAATTTTAACTCATTGAATGCCCTGACATTCCCCAGATGCAAAAATTGTAATCAAATAAAACATCCTGTAAAACGCACCAAAAAACCATAACGAAGTCGTGGAATATGCTTAGTACACATCGACAAGGCCTTCCCTCGAGTAGAATATGTAGAAAGCCGATCGTGATGCGTGACCCTCTCCCTTCCACAGTGCAAATAAAGCTCGGCATTATATCGATGAATATTCCTTGAGAAGGTCTAGCCCAATGATGTAATACTACAAGACTAAGCGCTCTGTACTTACGTAGGATAAACGCAATGGCGGTCTGTGCTCTTGGTGGTTGGCCTTCTAACTAACAACGTTAACGTTCTGTGGGGTAGAGCGCGAGGATATCTTAAATGAGTTCCGAAGTCCCTATTTCCATGGCACATTTGAATAAGGTGAATGATGTGAATGAACTTTAACAATATCATTTCTTTGGATACTTCTTAACCTTTGTGTCCCAAATGTTGTTATATTTGGACAGCATAGAATCTTCAAAAGGAAAATTGTACCCCATTCACATACGAAAGTGGAAATAGGAGAGGACTCTACCTCTGATGCCAACGTTATTTACCCACGGTGAAGCATAGAATTATCCATATTCAAATCCGATAATGAAGGTGTGACCCAACTCTTTCTACTAAAAACATTGGGAATTCTGGAGCAGTGCCTTTGATGTCTGGATAACTCTCTGGCCTAGTAGTTGGCCCAGGAACCACGCAGGATTGACCATTGTGATAATGGGATAGGAATAGGGTGCAAGAAATGGTGGTTTGTGTGTCTTGGTACTACTACTACGCACCAAATCAAGAGGAATGGGGCCGAATAAATGGAGGTGTTCTTATGCATCAGTTTCCCAAGGAACCAGAGAGGCTCGGCCATGTTTTCATTGAGGCTTCACATTAAGTTTTTGGCCAAGAATTTTTGTATACGTGTAAAAGGCAGGTGCAATAAAATGCTGAGTTCCCCTAATGCCCCGAAACAAGAAGTTGAAGTTAATGCGTCTTGGAATGACTGCTAGGTATATATTGCTCCCTTTTTTGCCAATGTTTTAAAACTCTTGAATTATAATACGTCTCTCGCGACACGAAAGCAGCAAAGTGGTGCTCATCCTGAAACTGATGCATGACAAGCAATCACGGCCAAAAAAAACTATGCACAATGACACACTGTCGGTCATTTATCACCCATATCCCAACCTCTTTCCCCCCCAATCTCACCAGAACGAGAAATCAATAATCTGTTTGGACAATACCTGTTTGAAATATTTTAAATGTGGGGGATACAGCGATGCTTTTCCGGAAAAAGAAAATTTAGTTTTAGGGAACCTTCCTTCTCAGCGGAATCGCCAATGGTTTCCATTGTATATTTGGTCTGGGGTTTCAATGGCTGGATTGTGTCGACTTTGGATCCGGTAGGAATTATCGTTTCAAGATTCCAATAAAAGAAAATAAGAATGAGGCCTCTTGGAAAGAGATCTGTGGCTACAAATTAAGTTTAATGTTCTTAGCCTAGATAACAAAGTCGATCAAGTGAATGATTATATTTTCGCTCTGCTGAGTGGCGCATTAATTTGCATGAGGAACTTCTGACATTGGTCTGGACGATTAGTCTCTCCTGTTCATGGACGAAAACCCATATAAATGGAGTCTTTACTGGACTAAGTTCCGCACAAAAGTCTTGTTTTGCATGGGGAAGTGGGATTAGCTCTTTCTGGATCACGAGGTAACAGGCTTTCTCTCATCCTTAGCAGGGAATATTATAACACGTTCCAATACTTGGATCATGCCTGACCTCACATTAACAATCACGAATCACAGACGTCGTTTGCAACCCAGAGCACAACTCCACTGGCCATCAACACTAAAGTCAGTTCGTTCGCCGGACGGCTAGGGTTTCCGGAAACAGTCTGAGCAATGGTTCCACCAAACCCATGCGTTTCTGGGCAACCAGGTGAGTTGTGGACTCATAATTAGTCCACATAAACCACGCCTTGACAACGTTCGTACATGAATAATGGTCGTATGGCCCTATTTTTTTTAAGATGAACATGTATGGATTTGGATCGAATAAGTTTCCACGCCCATTTGCGAGCAGGGACGGTAAAAGATAGTAAAGAGTATGCACATGCTCATCTACAAGATCATCTCTTACATTTTGCTCAAAAATGTAAAAAAAAGGAGGAAGGTCCCGGTCATCCTGAAAACGAGTACATGCGGTACTGCATTATTAATATCTGCATGACTCTTGTGTATTTCGATTAGTCTTCAAAGAAATGTGTTTCTTATCGATTATGAACGGCAGTTATTTGGCACAATCTAGCAAAATGAATTAATTTCATTTGTTATATATTCACTGCATCAATGCAACCGTATTGTATTCAGACGAACGCAAACAAGTGGTGTCCCTAACAAGGGAAACTGAGAAACGCCAAATTTTGAAAATCCACATGAGCATGTAATTCGATTCCCACTTCATTACAAACATAGATATCTCCCAGAGTTTCATTCTAGCGTAAGAACGAGAATTCATAATTTAATTATAATTCCATCAGTGAAAATTCGATTCAATGTGGCTCTGTGTGGTATTGCTTTCATCGTGTAGCGATGTCGTAATTTGAGGTCATTTCCTAGGTGTCAACAGGCACCTATGGAACGTCCTCAATTTTGTGTGAGAATCGCACGCTTCTCGAATTGTGACACGTTCCCTTCCAGAGAGCGGAGAGAAATGACACTTGGTACATTTTATATGGCGGACTCTAGCAGTCTCCAATGACTTTGCAATCGGGGAGCGCATGAATTAAACGTGAAACTCATCCTCTCTTCCGCTGATATGCTTTTGAGATTATATTTCTGGCCACAGTTCAACCAGAAAGGAAAGCAGCAGAACCTATGGCATACAGTACATTGCCCTGGTACCATGGTAATTTTCTTCATACAACTTGGAACGAAAAGGTAACTCACCGCATGTTGAAGGCTCAGCAGGTCCTTTCCGTCCTAGAAGGTTTTGCAATCGAAATTCATG